TTCCGAATATTGACATGGCTGATTTAAATTTTAATAATCAAATCGATGCTTTAATTTGTTACAAAAAAGTAAATGCGCAGCAGATCCAAATTCAAAAGCCACAAACTTTGTCCTCCTCCTCATCGTATTGCACTAAATTGTATTCCAATAATTCCGGGTCACTATTCTCATCAACCATTTGACTTCATGACTTTTTTTTGGAAAGAAAAATTAATATTAATAAATACTATTATTTAATTTTTGGCATAATGCATAGAATATTACCTTTCCAATTCTGGGTCACTTTTTACATCAGTCATTTTGACTTCATGACAGGTTTTTTTTTAATAAAAAAAAAAGTTTAGATTTTTGTCGTAATAACATTGAACGTAATATTATTACCTTTCCAATTCCGGCATTAATTATTTTGGCTTCATGATTATTATTTTTTTTTTTAAAAAAAAAAAAAAGGTAAAATGCTATATTTAATAATTACGTTGAATAGAATATTACCTTTCCAATTCGCTTTTTTAGATTTCTAGTTGTGCTGCAGTTAATTTGCTTATTCGTTCATACTCTTTATCGTCTAGCTCATATTTCTCAGGTTTCTCAGCAGTTGCACCTTTACGAATCCAAAGTAAAGCAGATATCATGGTTAATGCTTGAAGAAGTTAATGCTAAGATCTTATCTAAAAATTTTTAGTAGATACTATTACGTAATCACGTCTTTGCATTCTCTTTTATTAAACAAAAAAAATAATTCCAACATGAATTATAACAAATTGGTTTAATATTATATGATATTCGATATGGACTAAACTTTGATACTATACATCAAAAAAACAAACATTATGTATAACTTTGATTAATAAACATTTGATTATGGTTACTTTATTGATACTTAATGTTCAAGTCTAACGAAGTTACTACAATTGATGAACCTATAATAAAATTTGCTAAACTTATATTCAGGATAAGCTATCATTTTATTCAAAATCAAGCAATTAAATTTATATTTTAAACCAAAGATTCAGCATTTAAAGATTGAATCTACACCAACACCTAGATTTTTTTTTTTCTTTATCGTTCACGTCTGCGTCGTTTTTTTTGTTCTTTTTTTCAATTTTTTTATTTTCATCAATTTTTCTGGCTGTCTAGAAATTCTCGCCTATTACAAAATTTAGGTTTAATATGATGTAGAGATGCGGCACTAAATGTTCTTTCGACGTCATTGAATCCAATTTTTGCAGTGAAACCGGACATTTCGAAAGGTTCATAGTAGGCTATAAAAATAGTATATCTTGTGTGACAGTCTATCTATTTTTTTTTAAAAAAAATAAGTAAAGATTAGTAAAATTACTAGTTACTATTATGTGGCCTATTACCCCAAAAAATTTTTTAATCCTGCTATTGACACTCTCAACCCAGAATATTTCGAGGCGAAGAGCCAGTACTGACGCTAACACTTGCCAAAGAGCCAGTTATGAAAACTTAGACACCCTTATCAAGCCAATAATCACTAATAGCCGACGGCAGTCAGCAATAGACCAAGGTTATAGTGTTATTTCAATTAAGGAAGGCGCGTAACCAACTCTTCCTTCGAAATCGGCAGACCTTGACGAGCGGTAATCACAACCCAATATCCCCGAAATGCGGTTCCAAACATAATACCAACCTTTTTCTTCTTTTTTTACGTATCTTTTTTTCATATCTTTTTTTTCATATCTTTTTTTTCGTAACGTACTAGTCGCCATTTGCTCCAGCTTGTAGAATTTCCAATAGAAATCAAAAAAGAACTCGAAGCAAGCATAAATATCGTAGTCGTAGTATATCTTGTATAATAGTCCATCTATATTTTTATTTTCAAAAAAAAAAATGTAAAAATTAGTAAAATTACTAGTTACTATTATGTGGCCTATTACCCCAAAAAATTTTTTAATCCTGCTATTGACACTCTCAACCCAGAATACTTCGAGGTGAAGAGCCAGTACTGACGCTAACACTTGCCAAAGAGCCAGTTACGAAAACTTAGACACCCTTATCAAGCCAATAATCACTAATAGCCGACGGCAGTCGGCAATAGACCAAGGTTATAGTGTTACTTCAATCAAGGAAGCGCGTAACCAACTCCTCCTTCGAAATCGGCAGACCTTGATGAGCGGTAATCACAACCTAATATCCCCGAAATGCGGTTCCAAACATAATACTAACCTTTTTTTTTCACCCTTGTAATTTATTTGAACGATTGACTAATTACAGTTAATTAATGTCTTGAAATACAATCATTAAAGCGAATCAAACTAAACTTAGTTTTCACTCTGGTAATTTATTTGAACGATTGAATGATTGCAGTCTTTTTTAGTAACGTATAAAAAAAAGTTTGTAACATACAAAGGGTTTTGAAAGAGTTGTTAATAATTTTTTCGTGTTTACATTGTTTATATTAGAATAGGAATATGGTTACACTAGATGCATAAATTTTCAATACATCAAAAACGTCACTTAATAAATATCCTATACACATTCAAGAAAAAATTTTTAGGAATCATTTGCTCAAAGAATTTTAATTTACACGTAATTCTAAATATTATTTGGGAAAACATACCTTCAAGGTTTCAGAAATATCATGTATGGTCAGGGACCGTTCCAATTTTTTTGCCGGTCTCTGTGCAAAGATTATTTGATACAGTCGTCCTCCCATACAATCACACAGTTGGGCACATAATAACTTTTTTTTAAAATGTGCTTATAGAGGAGTTGTGCTTATATAGAGGTTTTTTTCTTATAAATTAAATTATATTTTGGTCCAAATAAAAATGTGATTACATATGATGTGATTATACGGGAGGTGACTATATGGAGGGACGACTGTATATTTAAATCCATTTTTATTATATTTTTCAAAATTAATTTGTTATTTCGGCTTATTATTTTTTTCTGACCAAGTCAAAAACTGATAACGTTCATTCTTAAGTGTAGTGCTTCGATCCGCAATCCGACTAATTCGGATTGATCCGATAATGTATTGTTATTAAATGATACTATCGTAATAAATTAATAAGAACTACAAATTATCGGTTAAATTTTTTAAAAAACTCTTAAATGATAATACATAATTATTTTCGAATTATTAATATTTAATAAAATAATAAGCCTCCCAAAAAACTTTTAAACAAACCACTAAAGAAAAGAACATGAAAAAAATCATGAGATATCGATCTAATTCAATTGTTTGCAACAGTTCATCGATTTCCTTGTTGTATTTTTATTATGAGTATTATTAGAATATTCTTCTATTAATATTTCTAAAATACTATTTACAGTATGTCTTTAATATGTAATATAATATGTAATTGTTGATGTGAAAGGTATCAAGTTTCGAGAGAAAATTCACGATCATAAAAGTGTTAATTATTAATTGCTATTATATAAATAAGCTTATAAATCAAAATAAATAAGATTTATGAATCATTGGTTTCGAAATAAATACATCACTAATATCCTTAATTCTGAATCACCTATTACCGTGTAATCACACCCGGATCAGAAGTTTATCACTGCACAAAAACTTATCGAACCGGCAGATATTCGGTCGGTCAATTTTTGCCAGATTTTCCAA